TACATCTACTCCAGCTACATAATTAACATAACTGGAGTTGTGTATCTTAATTTGACCTTCCTCTTTAGTGTAGACCTGGCTTGAGTCACTCCGGTATTGTGATTGGTGCTCTAGAAGTGGCTATAAATGAATAAGTACATTCATATATATTCATAGATAATACATAAAGATCAGTTCAGCTGGTAATACATTTTTATCAAGACTCTAGTGCTGCAGTGTAATAATGCCAATAAAACATTTTCAGCTAAAATAACTAGATGTAAAAGCACAGACTGTGGGGAGGCTCTCAGCAGATGGTTGGCTGAAGGTCATTGCAGAAAGCCCTCGCAGCTGCCTTTATGAAACAAGTCCTGTATGTTTCATCAGGCCATTTTAAGCATCTTCCAGGGTACCTTGAAAAAATTGTTGACTCTCAATTAGAAACTAAAAACCAATCTGTTGTCTGGTAAGACCGTGAGCTTGAAGATGCTTGTTTTGCCTTTGTGCCTGCTCCCATTGCTACGTTACAATTAGGGACTGAGGAGACATAGTGGGAGGTGTCATTTAAGTCTTTGGAACCTGGAATAGCAGAAAAGTAGGCAAAAAGTTTTTCTGCAATGCAAACTTCTAGCTACGGTAATGGAGAAAATTTGGCCCTATGCCCCTTGTGTGATTTAATCATGACTGTTGCAGAGGGTTACTGATTCATCAGAGCCATGAATTGGTTTCTGTGTGGAAAAACAAATGTGTAACTGCGGGTCAGTGGCAGTGAATGCCTCTCTGATTACACATGGTGATTTCCCAGTATGGTGAGATTGTTCTTGTTTTATTTGTTTCCACTATTCTTAAACTGTTGCAGCAATGGCTAATGTAAGGCTCTAGAATGTTAAAAAGGAATGAGAATATTGAGGAGTTCCATAGTGCCTTCTATATAAGCAGAGCCCTGCAAATTGGTGGAAATCCCCTTTTATATCTGTGGGTATCTGCATGTGCAAATGTGGATGCGGAGATCTGCGGCTCATTTTTGTGGCTGCGGATACAGATTTTGTATCCGTGCAGGGCTTTGTGTAGAAGCAGCTATAAACGCTAACCAGTTGCGAGGTGAGCAGGTTGCATTGTCTCCTTTTTTCCCCCCGCAAATGAGAGAGTTTAGGCATAGAAATTATCTTGGCCAGGGCTGTGCAGGAAACCTGAGCAGAGCTGAGAATAGACTCTAGATCTCCAAAATCCCAGATTAGGGTTGTAAGCAACTAGTTGAGTACCTGATAAAATGGGTAGTTGAGTAGTGACTGGACTAGTTGCTCCCCTACCCCCACCCCCGCCCTTGATTCCTCTATCAGAGAGAGGCAGCAAAGGGAGGGAGCAGGAGCCAGTGCTGGGGGAGCTGTCTTAGTGCTGGGGGAAACTGGCTTTTATCTCTGGGGGAGCAGGGGAAGCAAAGGTGTAGCGGGGGACCAGGCATGAGCTGGGAATCAGCTGTCCCGGCTCGCTCCCGGTCCCCCCTTGCTGCACCTCTACTTTTTAAATATATTAAGAGCCCGACAGCTCTTAATACATTTAAAAGGCAGAACCCTGCTGCAGTTCTGTTTTTCCCCCCTTATCGACTAATTGAGTAGTCGATGGAAATTCCATTGACTACTCGATTAGCTGATTATCCTAGACCAATTGAACCCATGAAACAATTCATGATCAGCTGGACGTAGGTTTTGGTCGCACCTTCATGCTCCTAGGAACCCATGGTACTGGATAGACGGTGTATGGGAGGAGGTTTTTCTAGGTTCTGAAACCTAGCTACCATGGACTAGTTCTCAGCTAGATATAACACCATGAGCCCAGCTTAGGAGAGGAAGTGGACAGCACCTGTCTAGACTAGTGCTTTAAAAATAAGCCTTTCAAGCAGGTTCATGTAGGTTAGTCTAATTAGGGCTGTCCGTTAACTCATGCAATTAATGCAACATTGTGATTAGAAATTAATTGCCATTAATCAGTTTCAATCGCACTATTAAACAATAAATACCAGTTGAAATTTATTAACTATTTTCCATGTTTTTCTACACTTGCAAATATATTGATTTCAAACTACAAACACAATACAAAGTGTACAATGTTCTTTATTTTTATTTTAAATATTTGCATTGCAAAAATGATAAACAAATACCGTTTCTTTCATCTCCTACAAATACTGTCCTGTAATTTTTCTTGTTTACGCATCTGGGGTGCGGGGAGGAAGCGGCTATGAGGGAGCCAGTGTGCAGAGGGACCCAGCTTAAGACAGCTCCCTATGATCACCAGCTCCCACCTCCACTGCTGCATCTGATATAGACCGGGTAGGGGGAGTTTGTGTGTAACCATGAGGGTTTACCCGTGAGTCCAGGTTCCTCGGTTAAACATGTACACGATCACATTCCTAGAAGGGACATGTGAATTTTTAGTTCATCTGGCACATAAATATCTTGCAGTGCCGGCTACATCTGTGCCATGCAAATGCTTGTTAGCTTTTTCAGGTGAACGTTGTAAACAAGAAGCAGGCATCATTATCTCCTGCAAATGTAAGCAAAATTGTTTGGCTGGCCAAGAAATACGTCTGAGTGAATTTGAAGTCTCTAAAGTTTTACATTGTTCTTTTTTTGAGTGAAGTTATTCTTAACAGTGAAAATATTTAATCAAGAATCAAGTGGGGATATTACACTTTGTATTCTGTGCTGTGATTGGATCAATATATTTGAAAATGTAGAAAACATCCCCAAAAAAGTAAATGATAGTCTATTATTGTTCTGGTGAATAATTGTAATTTGTAATTGCTTGACAGCCCTACCATTAATAATTTTCCAGAGCAGTGTTTAACTCTCCTTCTAAACAGTGTCACTCCAATCTGATCACTTTCCCTCATGGTTTAAACATTAACTCATTCCAGCATCCTGTTTACTTTGCATAATAAGCTAACAATAATGTGTTCCAAACAGTTCAGACCCTGAGGGTTCTAGAAAACCACCCTTTCTTCAGTGCTTTAGCAGCTGTTTGTGATTTATTTGGTGTTTAGTCAAAGTAGTACTAGGAGGTGTTAGGTATTCAACATCTGTGATGCTTTTGGTCCTGTCTCTGTGCCCCTTAGTCTTCAGACCTTCTTGCAGTTGTGTATCGAACAGACAAATTACATGTTTACAGTTTTGGAAGAGCCCCAAGAGTCAAATTATTTTTAAAGGTAAAATCCCTATTCTGTAGGATATCGTGTGGGAAGCTTACAGGTTTACTACCCTGATTCTCTACTGATGGTGGTCTTCCTCAAATAAGAATTGTCTAATATTGTAAACAGATTGCACAGAAATCATGCAAGACATTTTTAATGCAGCTTACAAAATATTTAAAAAACACCACTGTAAAATATATTACAGAACATTTTGGAGTAGAACATATTTTTTTAAAGTGGAATGGAATTTACAAGCCAATTTCATGAATTGATGGAAATGAGGTGGGTGGCTCAATGGATATGTGTAGGTGGTAAATTCTTTGCACATGCAGAATGTGGAATTACATTAATGTGATTCACAGTATGAAAGATCAGTGCAAAGTTCCTGAGAACCACAGTGTGTATACAAATCCATCTTTGTCTGTGAAGTGCATAAGACATTTGTATGAATGCGAGGGAGTGACTGCCGGTGTCATGTGTCTTCAGGGGTCAGGCTGTAGTGTTAATACCAGAAACACCATGTTACATTTCCAGCATACGCAGAGGGCTGTATGGAGCAAGCTTCTAAATACAATCCTCCATGAACTTACCTAATTCCTTTTTGAACCCCACTATAGTTTTAGCCTTCAATATCCCCTAGCAGTGAGTTCCACGTGTTAACGGTGCATTATGTGAAGAAGTACTTCCTTTTGTTCCTTCTAAACCTGCTGCCTATTAATCTCATTGACCCCTGGTTCTTGTGTCATGTAAAGTTAACACTTCTAACTCACTTTTTTCCACCTCAGTCATCATTTTAGACTTCTGTCATGTCCCCATTTAATTGTCTCTTTCAGACTGAAAACTCCCAGTCTTTTTTATTTTTTCCTCTCATTGGAAGATGTTCCATAAGCCTAATTTTTGTTGCCCTTCTCCATACCTTTTCCAATTCTAATAGCTTTTTGGAAATGGGGTAACCAGATCTTCCATGCAGTATTCAAGGTGAAGGCATGCCATGGATTTATATAGTACGGGTTGCACCTCTGAAAACCAGTACTCTGGTTTGGCAACATGGACCACAGAAACTCCTGGACCAGAAAGCCCTGGAGCCGAATGGCAAGAGGGCCAGCAGCCCGGCTGGGGACAGCAGTTCTGGGACCAGGACTGGAGAACTCTATTAGCCGGGGCTGGGGAACACTAGGTGCCTACAGGGGAAGGAGCCGGAGAAGCCCAGCCACCCAGGACAGCCCATGGGAGTGCGGCATCAGCGCAAGTGGCAATGTGGTGCTGGGGGGCCAATGGCAGCAGACGGGACAGGGGGCTGGCTGGCTCAGGGCCTATGGCAGGACATCGATCTGGCAAATTCTGTTGTTGATTCCGACTGCCAGACCGGGGAGGTCTAACCTGTAGCGATACGATATTGTTTGTCCCTTTCCTAATAGTTCCTAACATTGTTAGCTTTGACTGCCGCTGGCATTGGGCGGATGTTTGCAGAGAACTGTTCACAATGACTTCAAGAACTTCTACTTGAATGCTAACAGCTAATTTAGGTCTTATCATTTTGAGCGCTTTGCTTTGTTCCTTGTTTACTGGGACAGTTTGTAGGGAAGGAAAATGCTTTTAAGAACAGGCCATTGACATTAGTCACTGTGAATTTTCTGTGGGGAGAAGTCTTTCGCAAACCTGTGAACACTGGTAAAAGGTGGAGCTCCTTTCTTAGAGCAATTTAGAATAGTCTATTTAAAGTTGCAATATTAACATCCTGGCCTCTGTCCCGGTTTGGGATGCAAGTGGTTCTGAATAGGAACTTTGCTTTAGGTTTTGCATAACTAATCATAATCTGCTTTTGTCCTCACAGCTAGAAACTGACAAACTGGCCCTTCCGGTGAGCCCCAGCCCTCTCAGTCCCATTGCCAGTCCGAATCCGAAACCTCCTGAGGCCACAATCCTCACCGTGGAACCGTCTCCGCTGGAGAAGAACAAGGGCTTCTTTGTAGATGAATCGGAACCTCTTCTGCGCTGTGATTCCGCCTCTAGTGGCTCCTCCCCACTCTGCCGAACAGGCTCTTTTATTACCAAAGGTACCCAGATCTGCAATTTTAAATGTGTTTTCAGAACAATATGGAGTTATTGGAAGCATATTGTCACTAGAATAAGCACAATTTGCATATCAGTTGGAGAGACTATATCAAAGATCTCTCAGATTGCAAGTAGGTTTTCAGTGTTTTCATGGCTTCTGATCAACGTCCCATGAAAGGAAATGGATACATTCCCACAGACACTATCTGGTGTTGCCCTGGATCAAACTTGCAGCAGATTCTACTCTTTTCCCTGGTTGTCTAGACTACATGGCGCCATCGACGGAGCCATGTAGGTTAGGGTTGTAGGCAAAGGGAAATGAAGCGGCGATTTAAATAATCGCCGCTTCATTTAAATTTAAATGGCTGCCATGCTGAGCCAGCAAACTGCTGATCAGCTGTTTGTCAGCTCAACGCGCTAGTCTGGACGCTCAGCGGTCGACATCAGAGCCCTTTGTCGACCGCCCCATTATTCCTTGTGGGATGAGGTTTACCAGGACGATCGACAAAGGGCTTTGATGTCGACGGCGGAGGGTCCAGACTAGCGCGCTGATCAGCTGTTTGTCGGCTCAGCGCGGCAGCCATTTAAATTTAAACAAAGCAGCAATTATTTAAATCGCCGCTTCATTTCTCTTTGCCCAGTAAACAAAACTACGTGGCTCCCTCGACGGAGCCGTGTAGTGTAGACATACCCTAAATGAATTTTCTTCCGTTTCTAAAGGTTTTTCACACATGGGGTTATATGGGGAACATGTGGCAACAAAACCACAAGAATTGTCCGGATTGAATTTATTATAAATGTGCAGTCTTTGAAACCAGGTTAGTTTCCACGTGGTGATTTTCCTTGGATTTTTTTATTCCCATGGCTTGACGTCTGAGAAATCCAAGGGAAGAGACTTTAATGATTGATCCTCTTCCTTGTTGCATGACTTCCAAATGGTATATTTTCTTTTTTTAAATGGTTCCTTTGAAATCACTTGTAACTTGAAGCGTGGCGTACTGGAACCTAAACCACATCATCTACACTTGAGTACACAAAGTAATCTGACTCATGAAAATCACTGAAACCAACAGAATGTAGTAATCTGGCTTTTGGCCTCTTCTTTTGCTGGGATTCCTCAGTACTTGTAATTCAGCCCAAGCAAATATACTGTAGGGTACAGTGCTGTCCTGGCAGGAATCTGGATTGGGTGACTCAGGAAGGCTTTCTCCATCTCTAGTTTGTGACTAAAACCTGCCCACATCTTTTATGTTCTTGGCAAGTTGTGACTTTCCTAGAGTCAGGGAATGGGGAGTGAAGTCTCAGAGGTGTGAATTTAATTTAGTTTTTAGTGGTCTTTTCTCTGGGAGGATGCTCTTGTAGTAAATGGTGCCTTAACCTCAATCCCTTCCCTTCACAGAAAAGAAAGACACAGTGTTGCGTCAGGTGCGGTTGGACCCTTGTGATCTGCAACCCATCTTTGACGACATGCTTCACATCCTAAATCCTGAGGAGCTCCATATGATTGAAGAGATTCCGCAGGCAGAGGATAAGCTGGACAGGCTATTTGAAATTGCTGGAGTCAAGAGCCAGGAAGCCAGCCAAACACTGCTGGACTCTGTCTATAGTCACCTTCCTGATCTGTTGTAGGCATTGGCCACTGCACTCTCTGAATCTTGCTAGTACTAGCTTGGCACTCGTTAAAGACGATTGACAATATGCAGGCTGGTGGGGGAGTTTTAACATTTTTGTTGGCTTTTTGTTTTTTGTTTTTTGTTTTTTTGGTAGAATACATGGCCAGTATTTTCTTCAAGGTTTCTCTTGTTTCTGGAAGGGGTGGTTTACAAACATTGCACCTTCCATGCTTACCTTTCTTGCAAAATTAAAATCTTTGTTCCCGCTGTCCCCTTCTGAATTGTTCTGTTTTCAGTCCAGTCAATCATTTTATGCACTTTAAAACACACTTCATTAACTAAAGACCACAAATCCGGCGCAACTTACACATTGAATCTGGAATAGTTCTGAACTCATTTTAGTTTTTATCATATCTGTTTTATCCAAAGTGACTTTCCTCTTCATAAGACTTTCTTCCCCTTGTCCCCGCTTCTCTGTGGTGGAAAATGGGAAAACGTGAGAAGTGAGTGTTGTCTGTTACTCTAACGCAACTAGCATTTTTCCCCCCCTTGGGTTGACTTTTTAAATGTATTATTGTATGGTTCATATTCCTTGCTGAGGTTTTACTAGCAGTTATTTATTGTATGGTTTTCACCTGGACAATGCTTAGAATGCTTGATTACTTGTGCCCCTTTAAGCTAAAACGGAAATGTTTTCAAGAAAATCAATGGCTTAATTCCTCCAGCCTTCAGGACTATAACGAAGTCGCTTGGTCTGCAGCTGAATGTACCACACACAACAAGGAGTATCTTGCCTTGCAACTTAGAAGAAGATAAGCAGACCCTTTGTAGATCATCTCAGCACTGGTGCTGAATAGTGGCAGGGGAGGGAGAGCCCTGGTGGTAACACTCTCCTTGTGATTATAAGACTTACTGAGCTTTGCTTTTACAGTTGTCACTTGGTTGTTTGGGGGGTTTTTTTATACAGATGTTGGCCAAGAGGCAAGGTTCCAAAGACCTTGCCTGCTCTTAGCAATCTCTTAAATCACACTTCACTTTTTATTAAAAAAACAAAAACCAGAAAGGCTGCATTGTAAGAATAGTTTATTTGCAACTGTTAAGTTCTTGTAATGAACAGTCTGTAATACGCTCAGTGTGGAAGAATTCTAATATAGGGATGGCACTGCGATGGGGTGAGGTTAAGGGGAGGGGAGGTTCTGATATGGAAAAGTTGCCTTCCAGTGTACTAATTTATTAATAAAATACTAGATGTTTGTTACTTGACATGCTTCTGTGTTAACTTCTGTGATGCTTTGCTGCGTGGGTTGGATGTCTCCAGATCACGGAATCTGTTTCAAGAAGCCCTAGATTTGATCTGGGATGTCTGAACTAGTTCTAAGAATGTAGCCTGGTTTTGAATTTCTGCATACGTGATCTAGGCATAATGCGTGATTGTCTTAAATGAAACTGCTACATTAAATTCATACCCAAGCTTTCTCTTCGTGTGTGTTGGTGGTTTTGGATATGTGACCTGCTGCCAAGGTGAGGAAAGGTACTTTATGCCAGGAATCAGCACTTTTCTCTTGAAAAAAGACCTAGCCCACATGATCCATGCCACCACTAGAAAGCTGAGTTTGGTGCAGTAAATGGCCTAGGCAGAGGTGAACACTGACCTTGGTAGAATGTAGCATCCTCTTTGTTCCCAGTATGTTTGGAAGAGGCAACATCTCACCCTGTTACCCCTCAGTATGGGAGGCAGCTGTTAGTTTTTCATGTTGGCTTTTGGCTAGTAAGTGATCGCGTTTTTCAAGGCTGAATCAAGCCATGGTAAAGAACTAAAGCATATGGACCACATATGGTAGGGGTGTCTAGGAGTTCAAGACTTAGCACCATTTTACTGTAAGATCAATGAAGATTAATGCCTTTCCTGCCTGAATGGCTGTGAACAGCCCAACCATGGGCAGAAGATGCTGGGAGTGCAGTGGGAACAGGGATCTAGTGGTGGAGCTTTTAGAATGGATACTGGTGTGCAACTTACAGGTCCCTACAACGGATGTACAGTGTTCCCTCTAAGCTGTGCAGCAGCATGGCTTCACAGGTGATTAATCAGCCCTGAGCCTCTGACTGGGTGGGGCTGATTAATCACCTGTGAAGCTGTGCTGCCCCCCATCTTAGAGAGAACTGCTGATGTGGCTTTCATGGCTGGCTGCAGTTTTAGTATTAATCTGTGCATACTCCTGGTCTACAGCTACTACACTGATGAGCTCAGCTGCACAGATCTGATGGTTAAATTAGGTTTATCTATGTTCTTATTTACAATCACAGCTTCTAAATGAAGGCTCCTGGGGCTATTTTGTTCTACAAATGGAAACCTGATTGAATAAGAGCTGTGTATAGGGTCCCTGAATACCTTGTATTGCTGGCAGGAAGAACGTGGGGATGTCTTAATTCCAATGCTGGAGGTGTCACATTTCCAATACAGTATAGCAGCATAAATACTGAGACAAAAATCCAGCCGTGCCCCATGGATTTTGTGCTTCTAGGTGGTTGTCTGCCTCAGAGGCTTGCTGTGACCCTCTACACTGCCTCTTATCTTTTCTAGAGGCTAAAGTCACAGCTTACTGGGCCAAGTCAAAGGTTTGGGGTGAAACCTCTCTCTAATCCTGGCTTCCCTTTCCAGAAACACTTTTTAGTGGTGTGGGGAGGATTGGGGGGAACCCAGACCTTCCCACAAAGGGTTCAGCCGAGGGGACTGTAGGTAATGACAACTCTAGTCCCAATACAGCAGCCTTTTCCCTGGACTTCTTTCCTGCTTCAGCACAAACAGTCTTTCCTTTTTCAGGCCTCAGCTCTCCAGCCACGCACTTCCTCCTTGATCCTTCACTCTTCTTCCCCCTCCCTTACCTGAAGGGAAACCTTTTAAAATAGTCCAGCAGGCTAATCAGGCACCTGCTACCAATTAAAGGCCTGCTGCTTCAAGCAAAGCTCTTAATTAGCCTCAGGTGTCGCCGGCCTTGATTACATGGCAGCAGTCTCAGGCAGTTTATTCAGGAAACAGAAAACCATTCACTCAGCTTCCGTTACGTTTGTCCTCCAAACTATTGTTGCCAGCTGCCCTGGGCCTGTCACGATACCTAGATAGAATAGATCATAAACACATGATCTGATCACATTTCTTTATGCAAAGGAAGAAAGTGCAAACTGGCAAACACACATTAGGTAGTGTTATAGCTGTACTAGTCCCAGGACATTACAGATGCAAGGAAGGGAAGGGAATATATTTTACTGACCCAGCTTCCATTGCTGAGACTACCTCACTCCCCTTGTCTCTCTCAAAATGTATTAGATCTGCATTCCCTTTCCATTGTGGTCTAGGTTAGAATGGCTGCACCATTCTATATGTGATGGCAAACAATTGACAATAAAATCTCAATCACTGGTCATCCCATGTCTGAATTATATAAAAAAAGTTTGAACCAAATAAGTTGGGATTGCCTCTTGTATCCCTCTGGGAAATCAGATGCTAGTTACCATGAGTCCCACTGCTCAAGAATTGAGGGGAGAGGGAAATCACACACACTGAAAACATCTAAAAGTGACCTAAATTCCATGCTTAGTATATACATGGAGTACTTTGAAAGCAGCCCAAGGACTTTCCCACAGTAAAGGTGGATGTTAGACTGGGAATCTTCCCTTTCCAGTGGTATGAACTTGCCTATTTTTCTAACCTGATGAGCAAAAAGCCTGTCAGAAATGCAGGGCTGGATAATTCCCAGCTCCACTAACATAGACTCTCCAGTGGGAAATGAAACAAAGAGGAAATCTTTTTTTTGGCAACCTTTGAAAAGCAGTAGCTTAGAACTGCTCAGAGCCTTGGACTGTTACGTTGTGGGGAGATGTCAGAGCATGTCTAGACCTACATCCCTCTTTGGAAAGAGGGATGTAAATTAGATCAAAATTGCAAATGAAGCTGGGATTTGAATTTCCAGGGCTTCATTTGCATAATGGCGGCCGTGCGTTTTCAGGGGAAAAAGGGCTTTTTTTCCCTGAAAGAACCCCATCTAGATGGTGGTTTTACTTTCAAAAAGCCCTTTTTCGAAAGAACGTGCAGCTGCCGTTATGCAAATGAAGCGTGGGAAATTCAAATCCTGGCTTCATTTGCAGTTTCGATCTGTCTAATTTCCATCCCTCTTTCGAAAGAGGGATGTAGTCTAGACATGCCCTCAGTGGCTAGCATGTGTTTATGGTAGTGCATGTTCAGTTTGACACTGATATTACTGCCCTATAGTGGGTGTGAGAGATTCAGACTAAAGCCTCTTCAGCTCTTTGTCTCAAGCAGTTGGGTTGGACTGATTAATTCATGGCCTGGAGGCACAAAGTGAAGCCAAAGATCCATATAAATGACCCTGCATAGCTGGGGACTCTTGTCATTTTATGGATATGGGTGACTAAAAGTCTAGTACAGGTATTTAGACATCAGGCAGAGGGGAAAGAATTCTGCCTGCTCTCTCACATAGTGAAACTTCAATCTCTTGAGGTCAAAACTGTGGTTAAACCAGAGAAGCAAAGGCAAAACTGAAATAACAAAACTGTCAGAAACTGACTGCTGCAGACAAGGAGAGCTTAGTGGCTTACCCTGCCTGTGCAAGCTGAACAAGGCTGTTTTTACAACAACAGAGGTGTGTCTCATTTGAATTGTTCCTTCCCTTTCACCTTTTGATCTTGAATTGTCTGTCTTTAGCTCAGCTGCCCAGACTCTTGAGCTAAGGCCCCTAGGGTGGGTCTAGACTGGCAAGATTTTGTGCAAAGCAGTTGCTTTTGCGCAAAAACTTGCCAGCTGTCTTCACTGGCTGCTTGAATTTGCGCAAGAGCACTGATGATCTAATGTAAGATTGTCAGTGTTCTTGTGCAAATACACTGACGCTCTCACTCGGGGAAAAAGCCCTCTTGCGCAAATGTTTTTGTGCAAGAGGGCCAGTGTAGACAGGGAAGAACTGTTTTGCGCAAAAAAGCCCCGATGGCAAACATGGCGATCGGGGCTTTCTTGCACAAAATCGCGTCTAGACTGGCCACGGATGCTTTTGCACAAAAGCACTTTTTGCGCAAAAGCATCCATGCCAATCTAGACGCGCTTTTGTGCAAATGCTTTTAACAGAAAATCTTTTCCGTTAAAAGCATTTGTGCAAAACCATGCCAGTCTAGACGTAGCCCTATAGTTTAGTTATTCCTGTTGTGCCGTGTACATTGTGCCACTGTTTTTCCTGTTTAAAATAAAAGATCAGGTGACAGCTGGTCAGACATGCCCCTACCTTTTGATAGGTGTAGAATTTGCCATTTGTACACCAGATGCCATATTCCGATACTATCCCCAGCAGAGAAAAGGGGCGCTGCCTCAGAGGCTAACAAACCAGTCCAGAGAATGCCCTGTCCACAAGTTGTGCAATGGAATTCTGTAGCTGTGAGTACCAGCCTGATGGGGAGTCTTTTTAGTGGAGCTTCTGGGGGCAGGAGAAGGGGGAAGAAGGTGAATTCTAATACTGCAGACGAGGCTCCAACATTCCTTCTCTCCTCCCACCTCCATATTAACTTCTAGATTTCTCTAGTTTCTCGGGTGCTTTTCATGGCTGAGACGAACCTAGTTTGAAATTTAAAAAACAACAAATAGCTGAGTAACACTTTATAAAGACTAACAAAACATGCAGATAGTATCATGAGCTTTTGTGGGCACAGCCCACTTCTTCAGCTGACCGGCTCTTCCCACGAACGCTCATGCTACATGTTTTGTTAGTCTTTAAAGTGCTACTAAACTATTTGTTGTTTTTATTAAAGTTTTCCTGTTACAGACCAACAGGAAACTAGTTTGAAATGTTCAAACCACTTGCTATAGAATAGAAAATTACCCTACTAATCCAGCCTTTTTTTTTTTTTTTCCAGGCAGCTTCTACAACAACCTTGCTTCCAAGTTAGTCCTCCTATTGCCTTTCTCCCATCCACTTCCATTAATTCTTTGAGGTTCCTTGAGGCCTTTTTTCCCCAGATACCTGTCACTGTGGAGACAACCACAGTTGGATGGTGGATGTAGGCTGTTCCTTCACTTTTCACCATCTCCACTGATGCTGTTTGTATCTACTGGGGCTGCCAAAAGCATTTATGAAAGGCTCTGCTTCTGTACGGCCTTCAATCGACTTAGTCCAATAAGCAAGAGACTTAAGAATTACAACCATAAACGTTTCTCGTCTGGTTGGAGAGTGAACAGCCTGTGAGCAGGTTCCTCCTCTGTCCTC